GTCAACGGCAAAGGCAGTTGTAGTGAACCGACCTACCACTGGTGCGGATCCAGCTAAGGCATCCTAAAGCAGTGGCACGTGTAGAACCAAAGGAGAACGCTGCGCAAAATGTCTGCTGCATGCAGCATGAGTAAGAGTTGCCACCTGTGTCTCTGGTGATCTGGCGCTCCAGCCAAGTTCAGTCGCATGAACTGAAAGCAGCTAGAAGTACGGCAAGCAGTGCCCATAATCAGGACATGATCTATACTATCAATGCTTCTCCTCCCACTTCAGCACGAAAAGTCTAAACATGTCTAAACACGAAGCAGTACAGCTGTCATTTTACGAGAATGCGCGCGGACCAACCTGAGAGCAACTCTCAAATCTCCTACAAAAAGTACGCCTTTTGGGTTGTGGCCCAATTTACAGTACCAACATTTACTCTTAGATAGAAGTGTAACTGCGAGTGCTCAAAGACCCTGACAGTGGTGACGTTCACGACTTCCCAGCTGTTGGGATCCTGCTGCAGCATTCGGAGTTTTGGGTGCTGTCAATGCCCATCTTGGTACACTGCACACAGTCGTCCTTGCACTCCTCAGGGCTTAGCCAATGTCCACCTCAAATGCATAGAAAATGTCATGTCCCCTCGGCCCAGAATACAGCTTAGCTAGTCAGTTCAGTGGATGCCCAAAAATGCTACAAACACAAAATCTACCAAAAACAACTGCTGGAATTAATTCAGCCATGTGCTCGAACGTTTGACATAGTGCTCGTCTGACCAATGCTGCATACAAGCATAGTAGAGTGGATGTGCAATTGCATGGATATAATCAATAATGTAATAAAATATATGTATGGTTAATTACAAATTTATCTATTGCACTTGTACACATACAAAAGAGCGTGTTTTCACAGCTTGTTGATACTAGTATTTGCGAATGGTGTTTTGCATTACTTATCTGGGAGCAGTCTCACAGAAATTGACGGGCCCGACTCCAATCTTCAAATTTACGTGTGGATGAAAACACTACAAAACACTGATGAGGTTGAAAAAATCAAACCGTTTGCACTGTTTGTCCCGACACATAGGCAAACCTCAGGAACGATTCGTATACCAGAAGAGGCTCTCCGAGGACCGTGCAGCAACATCACAAGCCGAGCTAAACTGGGCACATACAATCATGCTCGCTACTAGGAACAAGTGCATCGCTACTAGTAATAAGTGCCTTACTACTGGGAACAAGAAGCGATTAGACAATAAGCTATTAGAAACAATAAGCAACTAGGAACAAGTGCATCGCTTCTAGTAACAAGTGCCTTACTAGTAGTAACAATAATACACTATTAGACAATAAGCTATTAGAAACAATAAGC